TACCTAAGCATGCATAAGAGACGTGCACCTTCCTCTGTAAAGCCATCCTCGGCCACTTTCAGGTTGAAGAAACCCCCTGGGAGGAAGGGAGACTTGGGAGAACAGACAGGCAGCCAGAGGTATCGCCGGGCCAGCGGGCTCAGTACAGGAAGCTGCTCGGCTTGTGCCTCCCACCACTGAGGCAGGGAGATATCAGCAGGAGCTGCTTCAGCTAAATGTTGATACCGAAACCATTCCATTTCTGGCACCTCTGACAGGCCGGGGATCCCCTGGTCATGCTCTATCTGGCTCCATCCTACAGCCCCCAGTTGCTTGGGATCAAGGGCCCGCACTGCTTTCAAGGTGGGCATAGCAGGATGAGAGTCAAACAAATGCTCCAGGCGACTCAGGCTCTGAGCTAAGATTTCACGAAACTCTTTTGCCAGCTGAGGTGGGCACAGAGCCAGATGCTGTTCTGTGTTGGGCCCCAGTCTTGCATCTAAGTGATAGGAGAAAGAAACGCGCAAGGAATCCAGTTCTCCGTAGATTTGGTGAGCCAGTGGCTCACCTGTCTGGTGGAGAAACCGTGCCATGGCCAACAGACCTTGGGCATGCTCAGCCACAAAAGTGGCTTCTGCCATAAGTTCCTTGTCATTCTCCACTAGGGTACTTTGCAATTTTGCCATAATGGGTCCCTCGACTTCATCAGTTGCTACAAATTCCCTCAGAACAGGGAGATGTTCTGCAAGGCCTGTTGCTTTCTCCAACCAAATCTCGGGGCCAGCCTGCCTATTGGATACAGGGAGAGACAGCTTTAGTTCATGCTCTTTCAGGAATAGTGAATAACGGTGACGGAGACTTGGACGCCGTCCAAATGTCTCCTCCAGAAGCTGCTGCAGTGAAAGCAGCCTTTCTAACTTATCTTGCCAAAGCTCCATCACCAGCTCCAACTGATGGTACAAGCAAGGAACATGAAGGGCAGCTGGCAACACTGCACCTAAAATCCCATTTGCAGCAAAGGCCTGGATCATAGGCAGCCCCCCAGAAGTGACCACAGCCAGAACCCGGTGGAACAAAACATGCCCTTCACTCAGCATGCGGGCCACAGCACGGGCCACTAAGGGATGGCTCAGCTGTTCCAGGATCTCAATCCCAAGAAGCAGTGGAGACTGCCCAAGTCTGTTGAGGGGCAGGAGGGAGAGGCCAAGGGCTGCCTGTCCGTCGTCAGTGGTAGCCTCGTGAAGGAAGACAAAGGCATCCCGATGCCGAAGGCTGTGGCAAAGAGCCAATTCATGCTGTCGCCTCAGGGCAGGAAGGAAGCTACGATAGAGCTGTGCAATGGAGGGGAGTGGTCGTTTAGCTCCCGCCTGCCGCACAAGAGCCTCAAAGAACTTTGCCTCCGAAAGTGGGACTCCTGTCTGGGCCAAGGCCTGGAGCAGAGTCACCATGATTGAATCTGGCACAGTAAAGGATTCCGAGCGACGGCATCGGGACACATTCAGTTGTGTTGCACGGGTTTGTCTCTCAGGGCAGAGAGATGAAGTAGAAACTTGCTTGCGAAGTTGGGAGCCCTTTGAGGAACAGACATCCGGAGAGCAGCTGTGGGAAAGCAAGGCGTGTGCCTCATCCTGTAAGGTCAGGGAAGAACAGCGCTGAGAGAGCTTTGTAGATCTCCTCGATTGATTTGCCATGGATTCACTCTGTAAAGTAACAGACATAGCACTAAATGAAGGAAACATCTTTCCTAGAGCAGACCACATATTAAACACAGCCTGTGTTTGAACTCATTTTCTGCTGCTGAGATCTTGGCACCCATTTACTGTACCTGCAAACTGCATTTTACACTTAGCTAACAATACAGCCATGTCCATGTTGACTGCTCTATTGGTGTGTGATCCTTCTAGCTGCTGCTACCATTTGAGAATTTAATATCATTTTAACACAGAATTTAAAGCCAAGTACTCCTTTTTCTTATCACTGCAGTTCTACTGTGCTGCATTTTTAACAAGCAAAGTTTATCTATGGTTACTGTGATAAGAAAGCAGTTTCCCAACTTGCATCTACTTGCAAGGAGGAAATTATACCTGTTCTTTAGTTATGCTGAGTCTACAAAGTATGTCCATACCGAAAGTGCTAACGAGCCAAACAATTTAATACAACACAATATTTGGCAAGTTATAGCTCCACCACCATATAGCCTAAAGTTGAGCCTATTTCCTCAGCTATCAAAGGCTGCAAATTGTCTAGGAAAGGTCACAACCAACAAGGAGTTGTTACCCACAGAGCCATTTCTTCCCAACAGAATGGCATACTCCCCAAATCCTCATACTCACTGTCTTTGCAATTCTAGATTGAAGGAAACACTTTAGAGCAAAAAAGCCTTCCCTTAATCAAATATCACGATTTGACTAATAAAAAAAACCCCAGAAAACCCAACAGCATCTAAGCAAACCTCAATACTCCACCCTTGTTGCCTTCCTCTTTTTTAACCCCAGTGATTTGTCTCCACCTGTGCTGACTCCTCCCAAATAATTGAGATCCAGCTGTTTCCCTTATATGCACTAAGGGCTTTCAGTCACAGAATGGGATATGTAAGTACTGGTCTTTTTAACCCTGTGATAAACATGGCCTTGTAGAAACGTGTGGAACAACTCTTCAATAGTGCAGAGTAGGAATCAGCAGGAGTATAATAAGCACAGTAGGAAAACTGAGAAAGAGCAATCAATGAATAGACATATAACATCCATGCTTGCAAAGTTCGTGCCAGCATTTCCTTTAGGGATTAAAATAAATGCTTCAGTTCTTTAGGATTCTGAGAATAGGAAGGCAAGTTTTAGCTTAGAGGAAGGTCTCCTCTATAGTCAACGCTGAAGCTTGTACCTTGAGTGATCTAATATTGATGCTTACTGGAGAGCTTCCTTTTGCCCAAACATTTCTGGTTTTGCTTTCCAAAACATTTTTGTTTTTATTTTATGGTGGTAGTAGCATAAACACCAGTATTGGCAGCTCCTGCTTGCAAAGTATTTTTGTTTTGTCTACAGCAATACCACAAGTGGTATCAGTGACCACCAGCTACCATTTGTGTTTTTCTTTAAGCTTTACAGGTGAAAGCTCTTGTTAACATTATATTTCTCAGAATCTTCAAGAAGATTTCATGTTGTCTCCCTTGCTTGACATAATCAAGGAGAAACAATTTTTGTACAGATGCAAAAAGTTACTGGCAGAGAGAAGTAAAGCTGCATTCAACTTGGAAATAGCCAAGCATTCGTTTTAGGAAGTGTACCACACCAAGGAGACTTTGGGGAAGGGTGGGGGAAGGCAAGAAATAAACATCTATTTCTGCCTCTTTCCAGAGTTCAGTTGGGTTTTCTCCCAGGAAAATATATCCAGGATTCCACCTTCTCCTTGACAGAACTCCTGTGTCTTTAACAGTTCAATAAGTAAAAGATGTTTTAGTTTAACAGCTTTCCCCAGTGCCTTCAAGATTAAGGCTGCCAGATCTGGGCTGCAGAAAATTGGATCAGCACTAGATGGCAGTAAAGAAATACAAATACAAAAGAAACCAAACTAATCCTTTGCTATCATTACCCAAATGTTTGCAGTCCAGATCTGATAGGTCAACTCTAGAGCTATTAGGAGGTATAGTCATCCCAATCATACAGAATGCTGACTCAGAATGATGGGGCTAGAGAAGCCAAGGAAAACTGACAGACATAATGGGAATATTTTTTACCATGGGAAATATCTCTGTATTTAAAAGGACCATTTAGCTGTACTAGACTAGACATACATTTTAGATTGAATTAAAGATCAGAAGGTGTGGGTATTAAGAGCTGCATGAATGAAAGGAACATGGGATGCTACTACCAACCATGTGAATATTGTCCAAAGTGCAAACCGAATACTTGTTAAATATCTTTATGATACACACATTCTCTACCTATTAATAAAATGCATTCAGTCTAGTTAGTTGAACATTGTGTCATATGTCTTAGTGAATCTTGTATCACTTAGCAAAACTACATGTAAAAGGCGAAGAGATGTATTTCCAAGGTACATGGGATGGATTTGAAGCAGGATTGGTTAAGTATATTTGGGATTTTAAAGTCCTAGTTTTGCAAACTCAAAAGTTATTTGATGGGCTGGGCCACTTAATTGCTTGCAAGGTTTGAGGGAATAGCAATGAGGTTGCAATTTAAGGACCTCACAGCTGAACATTTCTCTAATCTTTATGTGCAAGATTGCTAGCTACAGTGCAGGTTAACTATTCACAGCTTGCTACTGATCTCCCCACCCAATCTCTTAATGTCTTTCCTTTAGGCTTGGATATCTAGCAAAATTTGCTTTTTGGATTATATCATTTGCTATGGTCTTTAGATATATTTGTTATTCTTGAATATACTCATTTGGGATATCAGTGTATATTATCTGTTTCTGATGAGTGTTCTGCATATGCTCTGCTTGCAGCATGTTCTTGTTCACCTGTTGAATTTCTGCCTGCAACATTACTATAGCAGCTGGAAGGTGGGGAAGACTTTCTCCTCTAACCTGCATCAAACATAGATTCATCAGGGGCCTCTTTATCAAATGACTAAAGAAGTTCGTACTTGTTGAATGACTTGCTGGACACATTCTTTTCCAGCTGGTTTATGGATCAAAGAAACCACAATGATTAGTACATACTCTTTGCATGGCATCAAAACAGATGACAATAAAATGTTAACTAGAATATTTATCATTTGGTACAGAATATAGGGTGGTGTTTTCATATTACAATGTTCATATTACATGGGTTCTAGAAACATGAGGGGATATTACATTATTTAGTATATGATATAGGACATTCTGTAAAATCTCTTCATCCTTCTGACAAGGAACTTGGGAATTCTAGTTGATTGCTAAACTTCCTTGTTCTTTGCAAATTTTCTGCAATTTTTTCTGCATTTTGAGAAAAAGCGGATTTCAATGTGCAGATATCAACATAATCTTCACCCAAAGTATGACTGATAGTTGAATAAACACTTCCTAAAAGTTCCTGAGCAAAACTGCAAAAGATGAATTGCATGGCTCCTTTTCTAGTTCCTCTGCATCAAGCACATAACAGGCATAAACTGGAATTATGAACTGTGCCACATTTGCTGACTGCCAAAGAAATCTGGATTTCCCAGGGCAAGTTTTTAAAGCCATGAACCTCAACCAGTCCAGGGGTGTTCAAGGATTTGACCCTACAGCTACCAGACCTGGAGCATAAAAATATGGACGACCCAGAGAGGTTAGTTAAAAGTGGATTTTTGGCATCTCTTTGCTGCCATCTAATGGTTATCTAGAGTTATATAGTTGTGTAAATCTGCCTGTACAGTATTCGTTGTTGCTGATTAAACTTGTTGCTTCTTCTATTTAGTGATTGTGTAATTATTATACTACAACACAGACAAATTTTTGGATCAATGGACACCTTTGGTGCTTTAAGAATGCCATGTTCCCATCACCAGAGGGCAAACTGGTGAGTTTTTTCCCTCACTATCCCTCTGACTTTCCAGCATCTGCTATCTATCATCCCTTTATTTTTCCATACTCAGGTTAACATGTTTCAAACCAAAGCAATGGTTTCTGCCTGCCTGCCTGCATCTTGAAAATAGCCATAATTTTCTGGAATACAGTTGAACTGTTGTCAAAAATTAAAGACCCTGCTGTACTAAAGTTTACTCCACAATTTCTTTTCCAGGATTCATGGATACATGCAATGATTTTTCATGTCATTTTACTGCTATGTCCAACTGTTCAAGTTGTAAGGAGAGAACGTAGACTACAAGAGAAGTTGAGACTGCTTATTTCCATGGGTTTCCAAATAACAGAACAACCCATCCTTTAAGAATGGTGTGTGTATGTATTTGTGGGGGTGAGTTTTAATCTGAGTTAAGGATTTTTCCTTACTATGCATAAATATTTATTTTCCACTGTTTAATCCTTAGCACAGGTAATATCATTTTGGAATCAGCTGGAGTCCCCCTTGGAGGATTGCATACAGTTATAACCAAAAATATACATTATGATGGGGGCATGTGATGACCATGACCTAGTCAGGCATTTCAAATTTTGCCCTTCTGATTTCCTTGGCCTCTAATGATGATCCCTAGATTAAACCTGCAATTATGCCAGTTAGACCTACACAATTAAACTATGGGCATTATCTAAAATTTCTATATGGTTCAATTCAGAATGGTTGCCATGGTCAGTTTTCCTTTTATTCAGGCCTTGAGCCTCCAGAATGGACAATATAACCATTTCTAGAGAGTTGGTAAACTCATTCATTCATTCTGATATCAGAATAACAGAATAACAGAGTTGGAAGGGATCTGGGAGGTCTTCTAGTCCAGCCCTCTGCTCAAGCAGGAGACCTATACCTTTCAGAGAAATGGCTCTCCAGTCTCTTCTTAAAAACTTCACCGCATTCACTGCTTCTGGAGGCAGGTTGTTCCACTGGTTAATTGTTCTAACTGTCAGGAAGTTTCTCCTTAGTTCTAGGTTGCTTCTCTCCTTGATTAGTTTTCACCCGTTGCTTCTTGTCCTGCCTTCAGGCACTTTGGAGAATAGCTTGACTCCCTCTTCTTTGTGGCAGCCCCTGATATATTGGAATACTGCTATCATGTCCCCCCTCGTCCTTCTCTTCATTAAACTAGACATACCCAATTCCAGCAACCATTCCTTATGTGTTTTAGCCTCCAGTCCCCTGATCATCTTTGTTGCTCTTCTCTGTACTCTTTCTAGAGTCTCAACATCTTTTTTACATCGCGATGACCAAAACTGGATGCAGTATTCCAAGTGTGCATTACCTCTTAGAGATCATTTTGGTCACTTGGTAGTGAAAGCTGTATTGGTGGCTCTCCTTGCCGAACCATCTATTCTGTGTTGCATGCTGCTGTTCTTGGTTTCTCTTTTGCCATAGCCATTGCTGTCAGATACTTCTCCATTCCCATCTGAACTCTCCTGGTCTGGTTGATGACAACTTGCCCAGATCCTATTCCTTCCTCTGGCCAGCATGCCCACCAATCCCCAGGAAGTCATTCTGCCTTCTCTATCATTTTTCCTCTTTTGTTTTAAATCCGGATTGCTTATAATTCCTCTGGAAGGTATTTTTTTCTTGTCTCGAATCTGTTCCCTCCTGGAATTAGATTTGAATACTCCAATTTGCCTGGGGAAGGCAATTTTGAACTGAAGGAAGAGGGAAATGAATAAAAATATTCTTTCCGTCTCCCTCAGTTCTTATCTGATCAAATTTGCAACTCTCAATATTTCTGTCTTCATGCCAGCTGAGAGACCTGATTTTGAGCCTCATTTAATTTAGCTCAGCTAATGCCTTCTCTAAGAGGTAAAGCAAATGACATGCACAGATTCACTTAAAATGGACTTCAAAGCACCCTTTCAAAATGCAGTTTGAAACCTTAGGCAGGCTATGTCTGTGCATTGTTTCTGAAAGGGTATTATTGTGTTTAGGGAATTAGCAATTAAACACAGGACTACACAATTCACATGATGATAAAGAGCAGTGAATGTATTCTACAGACCTTTTTTTTCCTACGCCCACTGGGCAGAAAAATGCATTATTATATCTTGCTCTTAGATGAAGAATCCTTTGAGAGGAAATGATTAAGAAATCATTCTCCAGGCAGTTCCTCTATCCATAAGTAAGACTCCACTTTTAATTTTGACAATCCATTTTTACAATTGACATTTCTGATAGATTTTTCTTCCTCAAATGGTAACTGGTTTTTTAAAAAATCCAAATGCACTTATCTTTCAATCCAACAGAAGAATGATTCTAATATGGTCTGTCTATAGATATACCAGCACCACCACCACAGGCTCCTTCAAGTACACATATAAGCTTAGAGGTGTCTTTCTCTATCATATATGCCATTTTCTGTCAGCAATGTCCCTCTGGATTCTATGTAGAAAAAATAGGACAATCTTTACTCAAATGAATTAATGGAAACAGATTTACTACAAGGACTCAAAACAAGAATGAAATAATACCACAATAACTACTTTCTGTAGGAGAGCAGTCAAGCAAAGAATTGCTGGTAAACACAAATGAAAGGAATCACTGGGAAAAACAGGATGTGCAAAGTAGTCCACATACTGTTGCCAATATATTCTGAGATGTAAAGGCTTTGTACGTTTAGCTGGCTGCTGTCTACTTTCAAACATTCATCTCACAAATCTGATCTCTCACTGTGGAGAGGATATTGGCAGGATCCCGTAATGGTAATTTTATCTACCTTTAGAATCTTTGTTGTGCCAAAATGACAGTAATGTGTGACAGGGTTTCAATAATCTCATTTTTGGCTAGGTAAGACTATAAGTCACTAGTGGGTATTCAAGTTAAAAGAAGGTCTGGAGTGAAAAGTCTTTAAACACAAACCCCACAGATTTTCTGCTGTAAGTGGAATTGCAAATGATTATTCATATTCTACAGAATCTGTTGCTTTTTTTGGTCAGGGAAAAAGGAGAAAAACCTTTTTTGAAAGTCTGGAAAGCATATATAGATTTTTTTTTTGGTTAGAAATAAAAGATTGAATTGATGATTTCAGCATTTGGGGATTAAGGACAAAGAGGATGAGTGAAAAAATAAATGAGAGTTGATAGAAAGAAGGGGAAACGGCATAACCATGTTTTCTTCTTTTTTCATTTAATTCCATTTTTCTTTTTTTGTTTTATATACTTTTGTGTATCAAAAATGCTGCATATATAAAACACTGATTTTATGGAATTTTATGGGTTTTTTTGTGATACCACTTCCTTACATTCAAATCATGTGGTAGGTAAGGCTTAGTTGAGTTGATCATTGGGGTCCTTTTCATCTCTATTTAGAAACAGACCCTTTTCCCATCCCTTCCTCTTTGACATTTCAAAAGAGCTGCATACCTGGAGAAGCCCAGAAATAAGGCATCTTATATCTCTTCCCTCTCAGCAAAATGCACAAAACTACTGTTGTTACACACTGTACTACTTTTAATTTATTTTACTGTTTTTTTAAGTGTTTCTGGAATAGGATAAGACTCAACATAGTTATGGGTAAACAGTGTTGTTTGTTCCCTTAATTTCCTGTTTTCTATTCAATTTCACAACTAGATTTTATCAGAGACTCCAGTCTGAACAATTTCACAATCTCTGCTACTCAGGCTCAGAATGTGGACAGAAAAGTTTTCTGATTTTCCATTTGTACAAATAGTAAAGTAGTGGTCCTCTATGATACACAGTTCTTGGATCCCTCTGCCTCAGCTTTTAGTCTCACAGCCACAAAGATGCAGGCATTCCAAACATGTTTCTTACTTAGTTCCTGGAAGGTGGCCCTGGCTGTTTCTTCTCTTTCTTTCTCTGTAGCTTTAGGAATCCTTTGTGATCCAAGTTAAGAGATATTTAGCTAAAATATTATTTTATTTTAGAAATGCATTATGCATTCATTCTTCAATGGTTGCATAGTGGTGGGGGGAGGGGAATGACCCCAGTCTTAACTCCAGTGTACTTTGACCTACAAAGTAGGAATTTATGAAATACAGTGTAATTAGAGAGTGCCTGACTTAAGATGTGGGCAGAATATGTGATCATAGAGATTTTGCGAATAACTTGGGTCTAATCTTCAATAAAATGACTAAACTAATAGACCAGGAAAATACTGTGGACGTAGTATATTTAGACTTCAGTAAAGCATTTGATAAAGTAGACCACAACTTACTCCTTGGTAAGCTAGAAAAAGGTGGAATAGACATCACCACCAGATGGATCTGTAGCTGGTTGGCAAACTGTACTCAACAAGTAGTCCTCAATGGCACTACATCCACATGGAGAGAAATAAGAAGTGGGATACCACAAGGTTCCATCTTAGGTCCGGTACTCTTCAATATCTTCATCAATGACTTAGATGAAGGAATAGAAGGGGAACTTATCAAATTTGTAGATGACACCAAACTGGCAGGAGTAGCCAACACTCCAGAAGACAAACTCAGGATCCAAAAAGATCTTGACAAACTTGAACAATGGGCCATATCCAACAAAATGAGTTTCAATGTGGAGAAATGCAAAATTTTACATTTAGGCAGGAAAAATCAAAGGTAGAAGTACAGATTAGGTGAAACCTGGCTTAAAAACAGTAACTGTGAGAGGGACCTTGGAGTCCTAGTGGACGATCACTTGACCATGAGCCAGCAATGTGCAGCAGTAGCCAAAAAAGCTAATACAATCCTGGGTTGTATAAACAGAGGCATAGAATCAAGATCACACAAAGTATTAGTACTGCTTTATAAAACCCTAGTAAGACCACACCTGGAATACTGCAGCCAATTTTGGTTACCATACTACAAAAAAGATGTTGAGAGTTTGGAAAAAAATTCAGAGAAGAGCAACTAAGATGATCAAAGGCCTGGAGACTAAAACATATGAAGAACAGCTGCAGGACTTGAGTTTGGCTAGTCTAAAGAAAAGAAGGAATAGGAGTGACATGATAGCAGTATTCCAGTATTTGAGGGGCTGCCACAAAGAAGAGGGGGTCAAATTATTTTCCAAAGCACCTGAAGGCAGGACAAGAAACAATGGTTGGAAACTGATCAAAGAGAGAAGCAACCTGGAATTAAGGAGAAACTTCCTGACAGTGAGGACAATTAACCAGTGGAACAGCTTGCCTCCAGAAATCGTGGGCGCTCCATCACTGGAGATTTTTAAGAAGAGGCTAGACAGTCACTTGTCTGAGATGGTATAGGTTCTCCTGCTTCAGCAGAAGGCTGGACTAGAAGACCTCCAAGGTCCCTTCCAGCTCTATTCTATTCCTTTTGTGCATAGCCACTGGAATGCCAT